TTAAGGCATCTCTGATTTTGTACTGGTAAGATCTTTCCATAAAAGTTAGTTGCTTAGTTGCCTATCCTTTACAGGACGTTTCAGAACCAACCCCAACAGTCCCTGGCTGTTGTGTGGTTTTTCTCGGCATATTTACGTCAAGTAGTTTGCCATTGCTTTCTGGGCGGTCAGCTTTCTTGATACCACTGTCGAAACCAAGGCTAGGCGTATTTCCCGCAGCTGGAATCGATTCCATAAAAGACAGATATCAATATTTAGTACCAACAATCTTATTAAACATTGTTCTATAGGAATCTCTTATATATTTTGTACTAGTAACATTGTTTCTCATGTTACATCTACTCTTTATTTGGTGCCAACTGTTACATTGGATATTTGCTTATTGGAAATCTCTTATTGGACATACACTTTTGTGGAATCTCTTCAGTGTTTTGTACAAGGAAAATTATTCAAGTCAGATCTCGTCAGTATTTGATACCAGCAGTGATATGGGGCATTTATTTTTATGATGGAATCTTTTCCGTGTTTATTACCAGTAACACCATTCCTCCTGTCTCATCTACTCAGTATTTGGCACCAACAGTCAGTTTGGACATTTGCCTATGATGTGGAATTTTCTTGATATTGTACACCAGAATCATCATCTCCTGACAGATCTTGGTATTTGATATTAGCAGTCAAATTCGACATTTGCTTTTTACGTTGAATCCTCTTTGTCTTTTGTAGAAGTAACATCATTCCTGATGTAAACTCACTGTGTTTGAGACCAGAGTTTTCGGACATTAACTTACCATAAATTGTGGTGTAGAAGTCGACCTGGTGCACAAGTGGACCACAAGATTGCTAATTCATAATTCTGAGTTAAGCCTTTACCTAGGTAACACATTTTAAACCCACCATATAAGTCAACCCCGAGTTTTGGAAAGATTTTTTTAAAGCTAGAAAACTCGACTTACACTCCGCAACGTATGGTATGTTTATTGTCTTGAGTATTTTTTTTAAATCGGTAAACACCATACGATTCTGTGTGTATTAAAACAGGGCTGATGCTCCACTCATGGCTCATATGTGGGAAATCTGTAGAAACTACGAGTTGGAAAAAGGGTAATTCTGTGCTCTTTGAGTACACATTGATGGATCACTGCTTGCCGCTGTTTAAAAGGAAATTATTAATGTATACGTGCACTAGCATTTTTAAAATTGCTTGGACCTATCTGCGTGTAGTTTATAAAGTTGAATACTAACACATAATTTAATCCTATGGATTAATCATAATCATAATTAATTATAATGATGTTTATAGATGACAGTAGGATGTGGTAATGTAGAGTATGTCAAGCTGGGTAGGTAGAACTGTGATGAAAACAAAGGCCACTGCAGTCAAGCTAATGTCGGGAATTTAATCCACTTACCTATTTTTAGGTTGGGTCAGGGGAAAGGCAAGACATATATACAATCAGACAGTTAAGGGTACCATCGGAATTTTAACTCTTCGCTTGCTGCTGAAGATGGGGACGGAGCGCTTATGAGGGTGTCTTGAGTGCTGTGATGTCGATTCTTAATTCAGCATTCAACATTTTAAGCTGGGTCAGCTTAGGACACTAGGTCAAAAAACACACTTTTATCTTGATAGGGATTAAAACCTATGAAGGCTGGACTGGCGGCAAGTATCTACTGCATCACGGCAGTGTTTTTAGTGTTTAAATCAATAATTATATTACATTGTACGTATTTTAACATAGATTTATTTATGATTAACGCCGTGTGCTGTGGTAAAGGGAAATTATAGTGTCCTAGTGGCTTAAAAAAACTCTAGTCTTTTTTCACAATAAAACACCCTTTAAATTATATCATTAAAAAATTTACTCATATCTGGCGCTCCAAAATACTGCACAGGTGCAGACAGAACCAGTGCCATTAACATGGCTTGTTAGGGACAGGCCAGGGCAGCAAGGCTTTTTGAATAGTTCTTTGCTGGGATTGATATGGACAGCAATGCTGAATTAGTCGCACGATGGGGCTAAAGGGTTAACAAATAAATGCCTACTTTTCTTTCTAGTAACTGACGTAATTTAATGATTTAATTGCATTAAATAAATATTTAAATATAGCAGTAGATTGCAAAAGCCTTAAACAGGCATCTGAATTTAAATATCTGTCCCGTGGTACCATTTTTTTGAATGAATGAATGAACCAAGTATTGCCATCACTGTACTCAGGACATTCCCACCCATGCTGTGTCCTATTTTTTCCAGTAGCCAACTTTGCGTTGAAATGCTAATAGTACCAGCTGCAACATGATTGAAAGTCTGCCTGTGTTCCCTTCCACAGTGTTGATTATCTTCCAGACTCTCTACCACTAGTCCCTATAGGTACAATAGAAAACTGTTTAAATATTATTTGAGCACAGATTTCATGCCCCCATAGAGGACAAAAGAATATTATTTGAGCACAGATTTCATGCCCCCATAGAGGACAAAAGAATATTATTTGAGCACAGATTTCATGCCCCCATAGAGGACAAAAGAATATTATTTGAGCACAGATTTCATGCCCCCATAGAGGACAAAAGAATATTATTTGAGCACAGATTTCATGCCCCCATAGAGGACAAAAGAATATTATTTGAGCACAGATTTCATGCCCCCATAGAGGACAAAAGAATATTATTTGAGCACAGATTTCATGCCCCCATAGAGGACAAAAGAATATTATTTGAGCACAGATTTCATGCCCCCATAGAGGACAAAAGAATATTATTTGAGCACAGATTTCATGCCCCCATAGAGGACAAAAGAATATTATTTGAGCACAGATTTCATACCCCCATAGAGGACAAAAGAATATTATTTGAGCACAGATTTCATGCCCCCATAGAGGACAAAAGAATATTATTTGAGCACAGATTTCATGCCCCCATAGAGGACAAAAGAATATTATTTGAGCACAGATTTCATGCCCCCATAGAGGACAAAAGAATATTATTTGAGCACAGATTTCATGCCCCCATAGAGGACAAAAGAATATTATTTGAGCACAGATTTCATGCCCCCATAGAGGACAAAAACAAAAAATATTTTTGAAATAGCGCCTTTTTCCATAGATTTATAACAACCACTACGGTTTGTTGTAGTTAGAAATGTAGACATTCCAGTGCTTGTACTGAATGTTTTGATGCTTTTGATAATGTTTTATTTATTACTTGATGTGTGAATGAAATGATGTAAGAATGGAGGGAGACCTCGAAGGGCAGAATGTTAGACGGGCCTGCGTGCCCAATTCTTAACCCTTTAAAAATAAAGTTTGTTCGTTCGTTCGTTCTACTCACTTTCCATTGAATTAGTTTTTCAATGTATGGATTTTCTTGATGTTCTGTTACATGGTTCATTAACAGAACTTAACTCTGAGCATTGAGATTCAATCAGATCTTCTGCTCACTCCCGTTTGCATAATTCTTTCTAGATTGTGGTGATCCATTTGCTCTTTGTTGTTTTGTTTTCATGCTACGAAGAAAATGTTTATTGTTAACTGGCATCAATTCTCGTTATGCCTAGTGGCACATGAGGCTTCAGAGAGGACTTTCCATGCTTTCCTGTCCTGTGCAATCTTCAGTGCAGTTTTCCATGTCAAAGATACCGCACTCAGGTCGCTTTCCATCGTTCGTCTCCATGTTATTTTTGGGCGCCCCTGTTTTCTCTTTTCGTCTGGTGTCCATGTGAGAGCTGTTTTGGCAGGTATATCAGAATTCATTCTCATAACGTGGCCAAGCCATTTCCATCTTCTCTTGGTAATCATACTGTCTAAAGTTTCTTGGTTTGTGGCTTGAAGTAGTTTAGTGTTTGAGATTGTATCTGACCAAATAATTTTGATGATTCTACGTAGACATGTGTGGTGGAAGGTGGACAGCTTGTGTGCATCCTTTTTGGTCATTCTTCAGCATTCCGCTTCATAAAGAAGAACTGGCAAAATGATGCTCTCGTAGAGTCTGAGTTTCGTTCCTCTGCAGTAATTGTTGGATTTCCAGATTTGCCTCATCTAACTGGCATACTTGATGAAAAAAAAAGATTAAGCCAAAAAGAGATATTAATCTAGATTGCTTGGTCAGATGGTATAATTAGGTCCAAAAGACTAACCTGATGATAATGTGGGATTGCGAACCATGAATGTTTACCAGCATGGCACATACAGATGTTGATGAAATAGAAAAAACTCCTGCTCCCTGAACTGCCACATTTCAGTCTTTATGAAAACACTCTGCTGCCTCTCTAGTGGTGGTTCGCTGCAGTGGTTAGATACATCCACTGCTATCTTCTAGAGTATAAAGTTGTGAGGCTGGAATCTCTCGCATGATATGATTCTCATACCGCTGTATTAAAAACCACAAGAACTATAAGTCTCTATATTTCAACATTAACCCTTTTCCCCAGTTATGACCAGTTTTCTGTAAATGTCATTTTCCAACTTGTTTGCAGCAATCTGTTCACAAGACGTATAGTTAATGCTATTAGCTATGTTTATGCCTACTCAAACATTTATGAGGTTAGGATGTGAATATATTACATAAACATAACATTGCGGGACTTTTCCTTCAATTCAAATGCTTTTTTTAAAAGCTAGTTTGATGTCTAATGTTCCCCTAGCCCTCAGTATTAGAGGTCACAGGTCACGGCATAAGTCACCTGATGCATTCATTTTTTTAGACCCCCGAGAATATATACCATTTATTGCTTCACTCTGGTCATGTTTCTTGATTACTCCCTTTATATATTTTGAATAAGATATTTTTTTTAAATAAAAAAATTTCTTTGTGACCTGTGTAAAATTATTGTTTTCAAAGGAATTTTTTTCAAGAATGCTCATGGGTCATGACTCATTTTATTTTTAGTGTTACTTGGGTAAAAGAGTTAAACAGAATACTCTCATGCCCAGGCTCGACATTAAACAAAATATTTATATGTAGTTGTATTATCTAAACATCGTGTGTCATTCAACTCATGTAGGGCTGATGCACCCATCATGGCACAACTGTGGGAGGTTTCCCAGGTACAGGATTACAACTTGGGGTAAACTCCAGAAAGATTGCACCACCTTTTATATAGCTACTGCTGTGCAGCCATGCAGCTAATATGCTTTCCTGTCACTTTTTCCCCGTACACAGGTTTCAAGTGCTTTTGTATTCTCTGCGATTCTGCTACAGAAATTAATGCTACTTTCCTGTTCAAAATGGCTTCCTCACAAATGTTTATAGTAGTTAAGTTATTTCAAAATTCAAAAAGAATTTACATTTGGAAAACATTTTTTAAATCTTCCTATAAGAAAGAGTTCCTAATGTTTTACAATGCTGCCCCTCTCTCTCTTTCTCTATTTTTTCTTTCCCTCTCACCCCCCTCTCTCCTTTTCCCATAGAAGCGTTTCTAGTGCCCTCTGCCACACACCACACACAATTTGTATTGCTTTCATGCTCTCTGCCACACACCACACACAACTTGTAGTGCTTTCATGCATTCTGACACACACCACACACAAATTGTAGTGCTTTCATGCTCTCTGCCACACACCACACACAACTTGTAGTGCTTTCATGCTCTCTGCCACACACCACACACAACTTGTAGTGCTTTCATGCTCTCTGCCACACACCACACACAACTTGTATTGCTTTCATGCTCTCTGCCACACACCACACACAACTTGTAGTGCTTTCATGCTCTCTGCCACACACCACACACAACTTGTAGTGCTTTCATGCTCTCTGCCACACACAACTTGTATTGCTTTCATGCTCTCTGCCACACACTACACACAACTTGTAGTGCTTTCATGCTCTCTGCCACACCCCACACACAACTTGTAGTGTTTTCATGCTCTCTGCCACACACCACATACAACTTGTAGTGTTTTCATGCTCTCTGCCACACACTACACACAACTTGTAGTTATTTCATGCTCTCTACTACACACCACACACAACGTGTAGTGATTTTATGCTTTCTGCTACACACCACACACAACTTGTAATGACTTCATGCACAACTTGTAATGCTTTCATTCTCTCTGCTACACACCACACACAACTTGTAGTGATTTTAAGCTCTCTGCTACACACCACACAGGGCTTGTAGTGCTTTCATGCTCTCTGCTACACACCACACACAACTTGTAGTGATTTCATGCTCTCTGCCACACACCACACACAACTTGTATTGCTTTCATGCTCTCTGCCACACACCACACACAACTTGTAGTGCTTTCATGCTCTCTGCCACACACCACACACAACTTGTAGTGCTTTCATGCTCTCTGCCACACACCACACACAACTTGTAGTGCTTTCATGCATTCTGACACACACCACACACAAATTGTAGTGCTTTCATGCTCTCTGCCACACACCACACACAACTTGTAGTGCTTTCATGCTCTCTGCCACACACCACACACAACTTGTAGTGCTTTCATGCTCTCTGCCACACACCACACACAACTTGTATTGCTTTCATGCTCTCTGCCACACACCACACACAACTTGTAGTGCTTTCATGCTCTCTGCCACACACCACACACAACTTGTAGTGCTTTCATGCTCTCTGCCACACACAACTTGTATTGCTTTCATGCTCTCTGCCACACACTACACACAACTTGTAGTGCTTTCATGCTCTCTGCCACACCCCACACACAACTTGTAGTGTTTTCATGCTCTCTGCCACACACCACATACAACTTGTAGTGTTTTCATGCTCTCTGCCACACACTACACACAACTTGTAGTTATTTCATGCTCTCTACTACACACCACACACAACGTGTAGTGATTTTATGCTTTCTGCTACACACCACACACAACTTGTAATGACTTCATGCACAACTTGTAATGCTTTCATTCTCTCTGCTACACACCACACACAACTTGTAGTGATTTTAAGCTCTCTGCTACACACCACACAGGGCTTGTAGTGCTTTCATGCTCTCTGCTACACACCACACACAACTTGTAGTGATTTCATGCTCTCTGCCACACACCACACACAACTTGTATTGCTTTCATGCTCTCTGCCACACACCACACACAACTTGTAGTGCTTTCATGCTCTCTGCCACACACCACACACAACTTGTAGTGCTTTCATGCTCTCTGCCACACACCACACACAACTTGTAGTGCTTTCATGCTCTCTGCCACACACCACACACAACTTGTATTGCTTTCATGCTCTCTGCCACACACAACTTGTAGTGCTTTCATGCTCTCTGCCACACACTACACACAACTTGTAGTGCTTTCATGCTCTCTGCCACACCCCACACACAACTTGTAGTGTTTTCATGCTCTCTGCCACACACCACATACAACTTGTAGTGTTTTCATGCTCTCTGCCACACACTACACACAACTTGTAGTTATTTCATGCTCTCTACTACACACCACACACAACGTGTAGTGATTTTATGCTTTCTGCTACACACCACACACAACGTGTAGTGATTTCATGCACAACGTGTAATGCTTTCATTCTCTCTGCTACACACCACACACAACTTGTAGTGATTTTATGCTCTCTGCTACACACCACACAGGGCTTGTAGTGCTTTCATGCTCTCTGCTACACACAACACACAACTTGTAGTGATTTCAATGCTCTCTCCTACACACCACACACAACTTGTAGTGATTTTATGCTCTCTGCTACACACCACACACAACTTGTAATGACTTCATGCACAACTTGTAATGCTTTCATGCTCTCTGCTACACACCACACACAACTTGTAGTGATTTCATGCTTTCTGCTACACACCACACACAACTTGTAGTGCTTTCATGCACAACTTGTAATGTTTTCATGCTTTCTCACATACAGAATTTGGCTCTTCTCTCTGATATAGAATGTCACCCTTCTCTCACATACAGAATGCTGTGCTGTCTGCCTAAACCTTGCACATTAATTAAAAGTTATTTCATGTTTTTTGCTATGCTTCCCCACAATAATGTATAGTGATTTCATGCTCTCTGCTACACTTCAGAAAATTATTTATTATGATTTAAGACTCTTAATACTCTCCACAAGTATTTTTAATGATTTCATGCTCTTTGCTACACTCCCCACAAGTATTTATAGTGATTTCCTGCTCTTTGCTACACTTCCCACAAGTAATTATAGTGATTTCTTGCTCTTTGCTACACTTCCCACAAGTAATTATAGTGATTTCCTGCTCTTTGCTACACTTCCCCCAAAAGTAATTATAGAGATGTAATGCTCTGCTCCTCCCCACGAGTATTTATAGTGATTTAGGACTTTCTGCTACTCCCTACAAGTATTTATAGTGATTTAAGACTTTCTGCTACTCCCTACAAGTATTTAAAGTGATTTAAGACTTTCTGCTACTCCCTACAAGTATGTATAGGTATATGACTCTCTGCTACTCCCTACAAGTATTTATAGTGATTTAAGAATTTCTGCTACTACCTACAAGTATTTATAGTGATTTAAGACTTTCTGCTACTCCCTACAAGTATGTATAGGTATATAAGACTCTGCTACTCCCTACAAGTATTTATAGTGATTTAAGACTCTCTGCTACTCCCTACAAGTACGTATAGGGATATATGACTTTCTGCTACTCCATACAAGTATTTATAGTGATTTAAGACTTTCTGCTACTCCATACAAGTATTTATTGTGATTTAAGACTTTCTGCTACTCCCTACAAGTATTTATAGTGATTTCAGACTTTCTGCTACTCCCTACAATTTTCTATATTGATTTAAGACTCTCTGCTACTCCCTACAATTATTTATAGTGATGTAAGACTCTCTGCTACTCCCTACAAGTACTTATAGTGATTTAGGACTTTCTGCTACTCCCTGCAAGTATTTATAGTGATTTAAGACTCTCTGCTGCTCCCTACAAGTATTTATAGTGATTTAAGACTCTCTGCTACTACCTACAAGTATTTATAGTGATTTAAGACTCTCTGCTACTCCCTACAAGTATTTAAAGGGATTTAAGACTCTCTGCTACTCCCTACAAGTATTTATAATGATTTAAGAATCTCTGCTACTCCCTACAAGTATTTATAGTGATTTACGACTCTCTGCTACTCCCTACCAGTATTTATAGTGATTTAAGAATCTCTGCTACTCCCTACCAGTATTTATAGTGATTTAAGACTCTCTGCTACTCCCTACAAGTATTTATAGTGATTTAAGACTATCTGCTACTCCCTACCAGTATTTATAGTGATTTAAGACTCTCTGCTACTCCCTACAAGTATTTATAGTGATTTAAGACTCTCTACTACTCCCTACAAGTATTTATAGTGATTTAAGACTCTCTGCTACTCCCTACCAGTATTTATAGTGATTTAAGACTCTGCTACTCACTACAAGTATTTATAGTGATTTAAGAATCTTTGCTACTCCCTGCAAGTATTTATAGTGATTTAAGACTCTCCCCTACTCCCTACAAGTATTTGATGATCTCTGCTGACTCTGCAGAAGACTTTATTGATATTTCATGGTTTCTGCTAAATGCTTGAACGATAGTATTTTAATTCTTCCATGAAACTTCCCAACAAAAGTTTCCAGTGTTTTTCCCTGTGTATGAAAGTCCATGAGGATGGAAAGTCGGCAAGGGACCAACTGGTTTCTTCTCATGTTTTGATGAGATGTGAAAGTTGGCAAGGGACCCACTGGTTTCTTCTCATGTTTTGATGAGATGTGAAAGTTGGCAAGGGACCCACTGGTTTCTTCTCATGTTGTGATGAGGTGGGAAAGTTGGCAAGGGACCCACTGGTTTCTTCTCATGTTGTGATGAGGTGTGAAAGTTGGCAAGGGACCCACTGGTTTCTTCTCATGTTGTGATGAGATGTGAAAGTTGGCAAGGGACCCACTGGTTTCTTCTCATGTTGTGATGAGGTGTGAAAGTTGGCAAGGGACCCACTGGTTTCTTCTCATGTTGTGATGAGGTGGGAAAGTTGGCAAGGGACCACTGGTTTCTTCTCATGTTGTGATGAGGTGTGAAAGTTGGCAAGGGACCCAC